GAATTTTTTATCATAGATAGACATGAGTGAGACCTACAAAAAATGTAACGGGACTAGGTCTCTCTGATACTGGCCATTTTTGCTGTAATAGGAACATGATTCAAAAATGGTCGAAAATCACATTTCATAATCGATCTCTGCAGAATATCTTGATCAATTCAATTTGAATCATTATGAATCTCTTCACTATACGTAGAACATTCATAGTCTTCACCAAATATATAGTTGATATGATGTTTCATATTTCATTGTTAAGTTTTCAACTTTCAACAGTTACTATCGTTCTGTTTTGTGAAAAGAAATATTTGAATGAGTCATCATTTTAAAGGTGAACATGACTAAGAATTCTAGTTCATGTTTCAGAACAGTGATTTATCTTCCTAATGTTTTTTTTTTCCATTGCAATTATATTCACATTCACAAATGACTGCTATGTGTTTCTCATCAGCAATATGCATATTAGGTTGGAACATAACTTCACATTGGGAGAATGTGAAAGGTTATGATAGGTATACGAATCGATTTCGCTAGTTACACATATGAAGGATAGATTGTTTTAGGTTACCCACTTCCGTACGACTCCCTCAAAGTCTTTTGAGATGATTATACGCAGCGAAAAAATGTCGGATTATATAAGATTTTATAAGATTATCATCGGATTTTTGTGCAACAAAATCAAAATTATAATCGATTGAAATCTTCCAAATCAAAAATAATTTGATTTTTAATCCAAAATAATCGTTTAAATCAAGTATAATTCTGATTTTAATCAAATTAGACTTGATTTTAATCATAGTTTTACTTGATTTTGGAAGGTAACTTTTTAATCCAAAATAATCTTCCAAATCAATTAAAAATTTGATTAAAATCAAGTCTAATTTGATTAAAATCAAAATTATACTTGATTTAAAAGATTATTTTGGGTTAAAAATCAATTTTTTTTGATTTGGAGGATTTCAATCGATTACAGTTTTGATTTTGTTGCACAAAAATCCGATGATAATCTGTTATTATCTGACATTTTTTCACTGGGTAGTGAACCTTATATACGAAAAATTTATTCATCGTCAGAATGGGTCCTTGTGCTTGTATCATCAAGGTCGTTTGAATGCAAACTATATCGAATATGATTGTCGTCATCTGGTTCTTCATCGGCGAATGTATGATAAATGCTGTCATGCACAGATTGCATTGAATTAACTGCCGATAAAGGATGCATAGCAGGATTTATAGCAGCTCGCTGAACACCCATGTGCCAAAGAACTGCAGCCACATGACAGCAACAACCAACTTCGCGAGAACCTGATATACAAGTACAATAGTATCCAACAATAGGATTGATTGCTGTTTCGTCGAACTGGACAGTTGCTGTATGGTATTTGTTATTTGAGTGTCTGGACTGAAATCTCACGCGAACTAAATCGCTTTGTTCGGAACATAGCTCGACGATAAATTCGAGGTCCTCGTCGTTCAGAATTGATGTTGTAATGTGTTCTAGGATGTAACTTTTTGCCAGACGAATTTGGTAAGTTCCTAGAATTGAAAGAACATTCATAGAAACCGCAGGAAGTTTGCATCTTACCCAAAGAAATATTTTGAACGTCATCTTCTGTCATTGATGGAAAAATGCACATTGTTGCATCATATTTTTTCCATGTTAAACGTTGTTCGCCGTTTAACTGATCCAATCGTTCTTGTAGCTTGTTCTTTTGATTCAACTGACTAATCATTTGTTTCGCTACTTCGTAGCCACCATCAATATTAATTGTAGCTCTTGAGCTAAAGGCATTTATGAACGAACAGACGATTTGTAATCTCGAAGAAATGAATGGAATAGCAGAATTTTGAATAGTATGATTAAAGAACTTCCATTGTTTGATTTTTCCATTAACTAGTAAAGGCAAAGATAAGTAACTCAGGCAATCCTGTAGAATTAACTACACCAGTTATATCGGTCGCATGACTTTTACTCCCCATACAGTTACAAATATTCTCATATTTCTGCTTTTATTTTTTTGCAACTTCTCCGCATATGATGAAAAGATCGGGTGTCAAGATAAGATTCGTTCGGATAGGCTGCTGTCTCTACCATAAATTAATGCTTACCACTCTCAACTACCCAACGATTTGCGGTCACTAAACGTGATTGGTTGGCTTCTTCTGTCGTGAACTGCTTTTTTCCATTGAGAAAACTTGGCATCTGAACATGAAAACCAAGCGTTCGCATTGTAGGAGCTGCGTCTCTGAATCCACGATCCAGTAGAATAATGTCATCGTCTTGCAACCAGTTTAGCATATCATCTTCATTAGTAAGAAGACAGTGTGTTATGATGTTCGCATCGTTATTTTTGTAATCTCCAAAAAACGGCCCAAGGACGCTTAATATATACCCACTCTAAATTAAAATTACAAATCCTAGCGCTCTCTTGCCATAAAAGGCAAACAAAACATCTCACTGTGGTTGTTATGATCATCGGTTTGATAAGATGCCGATGCTTATGCATTGAATAAGTGCGACGTTGCAGCTCATTATTAGCAGACTTTTGAAGATATAAGTATGTACCGTCCATAACTACAACTACTTGTTGATTATTGCTAGTCAATAACATATTGGCCTTTAATGTTTGGTGTTGCTCCAGCACGGTCTGTCGACTAACATGTCGAAAGCCTGTATGTTTTGGAACGAAATTCTTCATTAATGCTTCTGTCACTTGATGTATGATTCGAGACACTACTTTATCATCTTTAATATGAAACATAGTGGACAACACACTATTGCTTAAACCAAGGCGCATTTTTGCACAAAACAGAGCAGTAGCAGCACGTTTTGATCTTATGCATGATTCTCGCATTGATACAACATTGTCAACTACAATATCAAATTCATCTGCAATGAGAATATGAAAGCCTGAAGCAAGCAAATATTCATTTTTTAATAATACCTTTATGCAATCCAGTAATATTGTAATAGTCCATATCACTCAATGAGTACGGATCGTCAAAATCAAACGTTTTTAGATTGTCAACAATCAAGCGAAAGTCAGCAATGATTTCTTCCAAACGATTTGCATCGAAAACCAATTTATCAAAATTGGTAACACGAATTTGACACAAAGAATCGAAACTCAATTGTTTGTTATATATGTGCGACGAACAACATCGAGCATCTTCAGGAATAAAGATCCCACGTTTTACAAAGATTAATGTACGTTGTTGTTTCGATAATACTTTACAAGTTTCGTCACTTAATCCACATACAATACAAGTTCTATTTTAAATAGAAATCGCATATTTTTAATTAAATAATCAATCATCAAGTTACCGATGAGACTTCGTACAACGTGGCACACGAATAGCAATTTCAGATGTGTCTCCTTTCACGTGTTGTTCAGTTATATTACCCTTATCGCTTTTATTACCACCATCAACATCAGTTTCCATAGCCTTAAAGAAACACACGTTCTCATATGAAAGTTTAGAATTTAGAACTAACATTATCAGAATTTTCATCTTGATTAACATCCCGTTCTTTTAAATGATCGAAATCTTCTTCAACTTTCTTCAACCAATTCAAGTATTTCATACGACAGTCAAGACATCCTGGATCATCGTTATGAACACGTTTCAATGATCGTGCTGACATGAAAAGCCTCCATAATCCACCACCAGCAAGTTGCTTCCGATCAGAATCAATGCTTTTATCGCATCCAACACATTTCAAACGTGCTTCTCTTGGCATGTTTAACGTTGTATAATACAAAAATGAACGGTTTACAACGTCTTCAATATCCAGGGATCAATAACACGTGTCTCCATATATGAAAAAGCGAAGTGAAAATTAAATCAACAGATGTAGTTACGTACCATACAAAATCATATCATTCCATAGTGACTGATTATTCATCTCCTCAATCTTAACACCATCATTCTCAATAGTTGCAACCCTCGATAGCATGGACAACATTGACTCAATGACATCGTTGAGCCTTTTCTTCTTACGTTTCAATCAATATGATAGATCACATTCTCCCAATGTGAAGTTATGTTCCAACCTAATATGCATATTGCTGATGAGAAACACATAGCAGTCATTTGTG